GGCTCAATTTGGCAACCAACAAGTATGAGCTTCCAAAAGTGATTATTTTCCTGTAAGGAAAACAAATGGAATGGTGTGAGCTAAAGCTCAGTGAGCAACTATCACACAATCAACCAAGATCACTTAAGCATAATCGTTCATTGCAAATATTCAAATAAGAAGTAAAACAATTCAGTAAAAGGATACGGACGGCTCTCAAGAGCCCATTTCCACGCTTATATTCTTGATCCAATCTCATTGACTCTCCGTCAACGTTTATGAGTACCAACCGTAGAACCCACTTCACTCCCATTCCTTCCACCAAACATACCCCAACCGGGCCCGCACTCCAAGCAGTAACTTTAGGTGATACTCGAGTACACCGGAACCAAGGGTCTCATTACCACAAGATTCCCATTTCAGTCCCCGTGGCTAGTCAATGTTCACGACCAAGCCCTCGCTGGCTCGATTCAATTGAATGCCAACGGGGTCGAGCTCAGTACAGTAGGGCCGTTGGATACTCGTCCAACCAACACCCAAACAATTTCCATGAATGAAATCCAAGAATTCATATAGCAGTACAGTAATACAGTGAAACGGTAAACAATCGGTCACAAGAATAAAAGGAATGAGGGCGGTCAAGTACACCCTCACCCTAATCATTTCCAATAGCCAAACAAGCCTTCAAGGCATCACAATCACATATAGCAAAGCCACATTATAAATCCAAGTGAGTAGTATACTCACCAATTAAGCAAGTGAGGTTTCATGCACCGTCGTCCCTAGTACGTCGTGCACTAACGTCACGTCCTAGAACATGTAAACAAATACCATAAGACTCGATAACGAGTTATAAAGCCAAGCCCAACACAACCCCAATAGGGTTTCATATGCATATATAAGTATATAAGCAAACCAGAAAATCAAGAAATGGAACTCATTTGTCCCAACAACAAAAACAAGTTTTGGCTTCCAAATGCGGTAATGGCACAAAATGCGCTACGCTCATCGGATGAGAGTGTAAGACCCACCATCGCGAAGCTAAGAGACAGGGCTACAACAATGTAGAAGGCCACTCAGTCCAAATCCTAGCACAACTAGGTCAAAAATACAGAAAACCAACCCAGAACCGTAATTGCTGGTTCCGAAATCACACAAAACTGTAATCAGTCCAATTCAGTCTATACAGGTCCAAATGCATTGATTCCAAAGGCATATGATAGCTAAGACATCAAGCTACATTTCATCAGAAGACACCAACAACAAAATCCAAACCAATTCCAGTCAAAACAGACGATTACAATCACAGTTCGCACATTCTGATCACCCAGAACAGCAACAGTAAAAACGGCATAACTCACTCTACACTACTCCAAATGCCCTGAAATTTTGTAGTCACTTCAAAATCATCAATACCTACAACTTTCATGTTTTGAGAAAAGTCCAATTCGGCCTCTAACCCTATGATCCAAAACCGAACAGAATTGGGGGTTATCAACCCTAACTTTTCTCATTTCAATCCAAACCCAAAATTGATTGCAATTTCCTATCATATGCACCTACTAGAGCCATAGCCCCTTATTACCAACCATCAAAAACAACCACACCATCAAGATCACATAAAACCAGAAAATTCCTCAAAAAATAAAAACTTAACCAAATCACTTCAAACCAAGAAATAAACCACAATTTCTAACACAATAGCCACCATTAGGCATAAATTCAACATCATTAGGTGTAAGAGGATAGTCAATCACTACTTACCAAGTAAACAAGAGAGAGGAAGTGGTAGACCACCTTAGCTCCTCCAAACAACTTCACTAAGCAACTCACTAGCACCTAATGGAAAGCTTTTATGGAGTAGAAACTAGTTGATGCAATTGGTTTGGAAGATTGAGCTAAATGGAAGCTTGAAATTTGAAGCAATTCTCTTCCTTCTTGAGCTTGAGGAAGTCGGCCACCAAGGAGTGAAAATAATGAATTTTTGAGGTAATTTTTAGATATTTAACCACTTAGTCAAAAGGTCAAAAACATGAATAGTAAGTCATAAAGTCCACCCAATGGAAAAATGACACTTGGCACACTAGTAAATGCATTTCTATCCTTTGGTCACCTCTCACATCAATCACCTCACACTCCTCTACTTATCTCTTAACACCCGATAAATTTTACACAGTATCCGAAACTTAACCTTATTGGCCGAATTTTTCTGAACTTTTTACACTAGTGGGGCCCACGTCCATAATCGATCCGTAATTTTTCAAAAACTACCCAATGCTAGAAAAATCATCTAAAAACTATAATTACTCATAAAATCCACCAAGATAATATTCCTAGGCCAGAAAATGCAGAAAACATGCAATTAAAGGGGAAAAATCCTAGGAAAATTATTAGGGCAATTATGGGTTCTCACAATTTGGTTGTCAATGTCTTCATAAGAATTATAGCCTGGTATCTTAGCTTTCAGATGGCTTTGGAATCACTTGAATTGGAGACGTATGTGCTGAGATATAGTTGAATGAATCAGGACTGCTCGTTGAATTTCACAGTAAGATGCGAACTGGAAAATTTGGGGTTGTTTTGGTAAATTTGACCTAGATACATTGCAAACTGGACTGAGTGGCCTTCTTCAACATTGTAGTCCTTTCTCTTAGCTTCGAAATGGTGTAACTTGCACCCCAAACCGATAAGTGTAGCTCCAGTTGTGACCGTTCCGCTAAGTAACGTCAAAACTGTCTTTTGCTTTTCAACTTAAACTTCATTTCCGCACATGTCCCGAGCTCGGTTATGCACTTAGACATTCTATTGGGTCTTATTTTTGGTAGTGTGTGGATTTGCTTTGACTCGTATTCGAGTCTTAATTGGGATATTCTTGTTGTATAGGTCGTGCCCGTGATCCGACGCCTACGCCTGAAGCTAACTTGTGAATTTGCTTACTTACCTTGGTGAGTGTACCATTATATGGTCTAATGCTTAAATGATTGTGTATACTTATTATGTGAACTTGAATGGCTTGAATGAGACGAGAGTGTACTTTATCGCTCTCGATCTCTTATCTGTATTATCGTTACTGTCAAATGTGAAATTGTCTACATGTGTGATTTGACATGGCTGAGGGCTTTGCCCGACAACTTAACTGTGCTATCTGAGCTCATACCCCATTGGTCTTTAATCGAATCGAGCCGGCAAGGGCTTGGGCGAATCGATAAGGGACCTTGGGTTCACTGCAGTCGGGTGGAGTGTTAACTCCTCGACCTTATGGTATACTCGAGTATTACCCTCTCTGTTACTGTGAGGTGTTCGGGCCCGGTAAGGGGGTGATCGGTGGAAGGGATACGGAGTAAAGTGGGGATCTACAGGATGTTCTTCTCTTTAAAGGTTGACGAAGTGTCAACGGGTTCGAGATCAAGTGCGGCAAGTGGAAAGTGGCTCTTGAGAGCCAATTGTATCCTTTTATTGACTTGTTTTGTTTATGAGTTTTGGGATCATTATGTGATAAAAGGTGTTTACTGGTGTGTCTTGTTGGTACCTCATGAGCTTAAGCTCACCCTCATTGCTTTGTTTCCTTACAGGGATATGAATAACTGTTGGGGGACTATATTGTTTTGAAGCATGAGTTGAGCTAGTTTTCATATAGTTTGAATATATTCTTTTGTAAAGCTCCTCGATGGTTGGAAAAACCCTAAATGTACTTTGATCTAAATATCTTCCTTTTGATTTGTAAATTACAAACGTATGTGTATAACACTGTTAAACCCTGTTCATGTATCCTATTTGGTTTGGGAATGTTTCTCTGAGGTGTATGGTGACATCTACATTTGATTTGATTCTGGTTGAACAGTGACGTGGCGGTCACTATTCATTTGCGATTTCAATTTTTGTTTCCCATTTTGCGGGTTTTAAATCGCTTGAGCGCGCTAATATTTTTCGAAACATTTTAGATTATATACGACCGTCTTAGTAGTCCTGGCGAGAGTTGGGCAGGCAATCCGCTAACCCCTTTGGTGCGCCCTAGGGGAAGGTGGGGCTGTCGCAGTTGGTATCAGAGCCAGGTTAGAAGTGACATAGGCAAGTTTGAAATTTTGTTCCTCAGGACCTGTGAGGGAAGTGTTAAGGTACTGTTAGGTGTGATTATGCTTACGTTGTCTAAGATAAGAACCCTTTTGTTATCTTTGTAGGTTATGGCCGGTATGAGTGGACAGGGTGGAGGTGAGCCACCTCAGAGGCGGCCACGAGTTATTGATTATCAGTAGAGGCCGGGAGGTCCGATCCGGCTTTGGTACACTGCCAGCCGGACCCGCCGCTGCAGGCGTTGCCAGTATTACTCTTATACTGACCATGTAGTCTTGGCGGTGCTAGACGAGCGGAGGAGACTTAGGAGTGCCGCCGCGAGGGATCACACTGAGGCGCTTAGACTGAGGGGCGTCCTAAGGATGCAGGCTGACCGGATTGGAGAGCTCCAAGGAGACATAGTTATGGAGCAGGAGCGATCGAATGCTTTGAGGGAACAGTTGTAGGTGGTGAACACCCGCCTTACTAATGTCGTCCGGGAGGTTAGAGACCGTTCCGGAGGCATTATTAACGAGTGCGGGGCGCTAATCCAAGGTGTGATTGGCGCCAATGCGCAAGTAATGGCTCCTAGTAGTAGTACACCTGGCGAAGGGAGTACCCCTAGTTCTAGCCAGTGCGGAGAGTCTGTGGCCTCCGTAGGGAGCTAGGCTAGAGCTCTTTTGAACCACTTTTGATCCCACGAAGGGAATAGTTAGGAAAAGCGCTTAGTTAGTTGTTTTGGCCTAACTTTGTATATAATCTTTTGGAGGACCCCTTTTGTTTCATGGGATTTCTTTTGTATGTCCTTGACCGACTGCTTTTGTATGACTGCTTGCAACATCTGTGTATGAATGTTCTATGTGTTTATATGTCTTGTGCGTTATTTTGATTATTTGCCGATGTTTATAAGTTTATGCCCGTATGGTTCTTTAATTGTTATTACGTGTCTCGACCTTAGAGTGACTTGAACCATGAAGGGCACTCGTAGTGGACGAGGCCGTGGACGTGGAAATAGGCAACCTTCTGATAAAGGCACTGCGGAAACCTCGACTGGACCAAACCCTGAACCTAGGGTAGATCCAAATATCCAGATAGCTGCCGCTATGCAGCAAATGACCGACTTGCTGGCCCATGTGGTGCAACAACAGGGCCACAACCCTAACCCACCTGTCGGGAATCCCGAAAACCCTGGGAATCACGTAGAAAGTGAGGATAGAGCTCTTGAAAGGTTCCAAAAGTTCTCCCCACCAAAGTTTCTTGGAGGGCCCGATCCCGATGTGGCTGAAAGATGGTTGGAGAAGATGGTGGACATCTTTGCGGCCTTACATAACTCCGAAGAGAGGCAGATTACTTTTGCGGTCTTCCAATTAGAAGGGGCCGCTCGCTCTTGGTGGAATGTTATTCGAACCAAGTGGGAGAGAGAGCAGACACCCAGAACGTGGGTGAACTTTGTAAGAGAATTTAACGCCAAGTACTTTCTGCCCTTGATCCAAGAAAAGAAGGAGGATGAGTTCATCCGATTTCGCCAGGGCACCCAATCCGTGGCTGAATACGAAAGCCAGTTTACCCGATTAGCCAAGTTTGCCCCTGAACTTATTATGACTGAACAAAGAAGGGTACGACGTTTCATTCAGGGGCTAAATGTGGAAATCCAAAAGGATTTAGCCTTGACCCAGATTAACACTTTCAGTGATGTGGTGGATAAGGCTTTGCGAGCCGAGAACGCAAGGCTTCAAGTTCGGAATTTTCAAGTGAGGAAACGTGGGTTTTTCGGAGGTAGTTCTACACAGGGGGATAAGAGTACCCCTCCCAAATTTGGCCGTGGAGCTGGACGAGGACGAGTTCCTGGTACGGCAAGAGGGACTCCGCCAAGAGGTGGCCAGAAGGGACGAGGCCAACAGAGGAGTGCCTCACAAGGGAGCTCCGCCACTGTTTCTCGTGGCCCGTGTGGGTTCTGTGGGAAGCCGAACCACACGGAGGATAACTGCTGGAGAAAGGAGAAGAAGTGCTTACGCTGTGGGAGCACGGAGCACCAGATAGCCAGCTGTCCAGTTCAACCCTGAGAGGCGAGAGGGATCACACAATCTTCTAAGGCGACTTCAGCGCAATCAAAGGTGGAAGTGACGAAACCGAAGGTGCCTGCCTGAGTGTACTCTATCGAGCAACGTCCTGTCCCTGATTCGGCGGATGTGGTGGAAGGTACGATTCCTGTCTTCCACCGTCTAACTAGGATTTTGATAGACCCCGGTGCCACCCATTCCTTTGTTAACCCTGCAATTATGTGTGAAATTAATATAACCCCTGTAAACCTGCCCTACGAACTGGAAGTAAGTACGCCTACGGGGGACTAGTGTTTGGTTACTAGCAAAATATATGTAAACTGTGAAATCTGGGTAGGAGAGAGGAAGTTACTGCAGAATTTGATAAGTTTGGCTATTAAGGGGTACGATGTGATTCTGGGCATGGACTGGTTAGCTAGGTATGATGCCCAGCTTGACTGTAAAAGGAAAATAGTGGAATTTCGTATTCCAGGGGAGGCGACCTTAAAGTTAGATGTGAGGGGCAGTTTAGCCTCGTCTGCAATGGTTTCGGGTATTCAGGCTAGGAAACTTTTGAGTAGAGGGGCACGAGGGTTCTTAGCCTTTCTCATCTACACTCTCACTGATAAGTTAAATGTAGAAGATGTTCCAGTAGTGGGCGAATATTCGGACGTGTTTCCCGATGAGCTAGTGAATCTACCACCGCAAAGAGAGATAGAATTTGAGATTAACTTGTTACCAGGGACTTCACCTATCTCTAAGACCCCATACCGTATGGCACCTGCTGAACTTAAGGAGTTGAAGTTGCAGTTGCAAGATCTTTTAGAGCGGGGTTTTATCCGTGAGAGTGGATCTCCTTGGGGAGCACCCGTTCTCTTTGTTAAAAAGAAGGACGGGACCTTGAGATTATGTATCGATTACCGAGGGTAGAACAATGTAACCGTTAAGTATAAATACCCACTACCCCACATTGATGAGCTGTTTGACCAGTTGCAAGGTGCAGTGGTCTTTTCAAAACTGGACCTTCGATAGGGGTACTACCAATTATTTATCCGAAAAGAATATGCGCCTAAAACTGCCTTCAATTCTCGGTATGGGCATTTCGAATTTGCCGTGATGCCCTTCGGACTAACCAATGCCCCTGCCGCTTTTATGGACTTGATGCATCGAGTTTTCAAACTCTACCTGGACCAATTTGTCTTTGTGTTTATCGATGACATTTTGGTCTACTCGAAAACCCGGGAGGAGCATGTGCAGCACCAGAAATTAGTCTTGCAAACCCTAAGGGATCACCAATTATACGCCAAATTTAGTAAGTGTGAGTTTTGGCTGGAGAAGGTTTCCTTCTTAGGTCATGTAATTTCGAAGGAGGGGATTGCAGTAGATCCAGCGAAGGTAGAGGCAGTGACCGAGTGGAAGAGACCTGAGAGTCCGACTGAGATTCGAAACTTCTTAGGGTTGGCAGGTTACTATCGGCGATTTATTAATGATTTCTCAAAACTTGCCAGTCCTTTAACCAATTTGACCAAGAAAAGTAACCAGTTCTGTGGGATGCCCGATGTGAGCAGAGCTTTCAGTAGTTGAAGAAAAGGTTAACTATGGCTCCTGTTCTGGCCTTGCCTAACGGTAAGGACAGTTTCATTATGTACACTGATGCTTCGAAGGAAAGCTTAGGGTGTGTATTGATGCAAAATAGGAATGTGATAGCCTTTGCCTCTAGGAAATTGAAGACCCACGAGCAAAACTATCCCACTCATGATTTGGAGTTAGCCGCAGTTGTCTTTGCTCTGAAAAAATGGAGACACTACCTTTATGGGGTAACCTTTGAAGTTTATTCCGATCACAAGAGCCTTAAGTACCTCTTTTCCCAAAAGGAGTTGAATATGAGACAACGTCGTTGGATGGAATTCTTAGAAGATTATGACTGCACGATCAACTACCATCTGGGTAAGGCTAACGTAGTAGCTGATGCCTTAAACAGGAAGGCTCGAATATCTGGGTGAATAGTTAAGGAGTGGGAAATGTTAGAAGCTATTGGTGAATGGAACCCTAAAATCGAAGGTAAGAAATCACCTTTGGAAATATCCGGGTGACATCCGCCCTATTGGATAGAATCAAGGAGGCCCAAACTACAGATCCGATGGTTCCGAAGTGGGTGGAAAAAGTGAAGAAAGGAGAAATTCCTGATTTTACTCTAAGTCCTGAGGGAATTTTGAGATTTAGAAATCGCATTGTAGTGCCTGAGGATGAGAATTTGAGGAGAAAGATTCTGGATGAAGCCCATCGATCGAAATACACCATCCATCCGGGTAGTACTAAAATGTATTAGGATTTACGATGGTTATACTGGTGGGATAAAATGAAGAGGGGGATTGCTCAATATGTACAAACCTGTCTAGTCTGCTAGCAGGTTAAGGCCGAACGCCAAAAACCTTCTGGATTACTACAACCTCTTGAGATACCTGAATGGAAATGGTAGAACATTACCATGGACTTCATTTCCGGATTGCCTAGAACCCAAAAAGGGCATGATGCCGTTTGGGTGATCGTCAATCGGTTAATCAAATCGGCTCACTTCGTACCTATGAATATGAAGTATTCTATGGATAAGTTGGCTCGGGTGTATATGGAGGAGATTGTGAGATTACATGGGGTCACTGTAAGTATAGTTTCCGACCGAGACCCTCGTTTTGTGTCAAGGTTTTGGCAAAAGTTTCAGGAGACCTTGGGAACTAAACTGAACCTAAGTACCACTTATCACCCTCAAACGGATGGGCAGTCGGAGCGAACGATTCAGACACTTGAAGATATGTTAAGAACGTGTGTTTTAGACTTTGGAGGTAGTTGGGGCCAACATATGACATTAGTGGAATTCGCCTACAACAACACCTATCATTCGTCGATTCAAATGGCACCGTATGAGGCTCTTTATGGACGAAAGTGTCGATCTCCGTTATACTGGGATGAGGTAGGAGAAAAGAAGGTTTTGGACCCAACAGTTATCCCATGGATGGAGGATGCCCAAGAAAAGGTCAAGTTAAATGTGATTACCGTGGAGGATTTTGGATATACGGGGATTATATTATATGGTATTATGAACTAATTAGAGGTTAGCCAGTTTAATTAGGTATTGCAAGACAAGGAAGTGATAAGCACCAAAGGTGCTAGGTGTCATGCCATGAATGGAAGTTGGACTTTTGACCATTTTTTTTACCTTTCCTAATAATCAATTTTGACTCAAATAACCCCTCATTTCCTTCCCCTTTGGTTGTGCACCTTGAAGGCAAAGAAGAGAGAAACCTTCTTCAGTTTTCTTTCCTTTCTTACTTGAATCTTGGAATCCAACCATTAATCTCCTAAATTTCTCCACACAAGTGAGTTGTTAAGTGAAGTTAAGGCCTTTGGTGGAGCCATTTGTGAAGAAGAACTACTAGTTATCTTGTTCTTGGAGTTGCTAAGGTGAGTTGATAAAATATTGTCCCTTTCATGGTTATAATGATCAATTCAGAGACTCTAGTGGTGAAGCATGTCATTTTATGGATTAAATCATGAATTATGGTTGAGTTGTCCAAATTTTCTATTTATTGAGGATTTTTCTGTTTTATATTGTATACCATAGCTAGCCATGGATTGCTGGTTATATATGAAGTAAATTGGAGCCTCTATATGCTTATTGTGGGTTATTGTGAAAATTTCCAGATTTTAGAGGGATTTTCGGTTTTAGGGTTTCTAAATGACCCTGTTCTGCCTGGTTCTGTTCGGCTAGGTTAGAGACCGAATTAGCCTTAGGTTAAAACATGAAAGTTGTAGGAAATGAAGTTTTATAGTTTCCTAAAAAATTTCAACCTAATCGGAGCAATGTATCATATGAAAAGACCAAAATACCCCTGCTGCCCTGTTTCTGTCCGAACCTGATAATCAGCTTCTGTAATTGGCTAGTTTGACCGGGAATACTACTGATTTGGTTGTTGATGTCTTCGTAAGAATTATAGCCTGGTATCTTATCTTTCATATGGATTTGGAATCACTTGAATTGGAGTCGTATGTGCTGAGATATGATTGAATGAATCAGGACTGCTCGTTGAATTTCACAGTAAGCTGTGAACTGGAAAATCTGGGGTGGTTTTGGTAAAGTTGACCAAGATACATTGCAAACTGGACTGAGTGGCCTTCTTCAACATTGTAGCCCTTTCTCTTAGCTTCAAAACTGTGTAACTTTCACCCCAAACCGATAAGTGTAGCTCCAGTTGTGACCGTTCCGCTAAGTAACGTCAAAACTGTCTTTTGCTTTTCAACTTAAACTTCATTTCCGCACATGTCCGTAGCTTGGTTATGCACTTATACATTCTATTGGGGCTTATTTTTGGTAGTGTGTGGATTTTCTTTGACTCGTATTCGAGTTTTAATTGGGATATTCTTGTTGTATAGGTCATGCCCGTGATCCGACGCCTACGCCTGAAGCTAACTTGTGAATTTGCTTACTTACCTTGGTGAGTGTACCATTATATGGTCTAATGCTTAAATGATTGTGTATACTTGTTATGTGAACTTGAATGGCTTGAATGAGACGAGAGTGTACTTTATCGCTCTCGATCTCTTATCTGTATTACTGTTACTGTCAAATGTGAAATTGTCTACATGTGTGATTTGACATGGCTGAGGGCTTTGCCCGACAACTTAATTGTGCTATCTGAGCTCATACCCCATTGGTCTTTAATCGAATCGAGCCGGCAAGGGCTTGGACGAATCGATAAGGGACCTTGGGTTCACTGTAGTCAAGTGGAGTGTTAACTCCTCGACCTTATGGTATACTCGAGTATTACCCTCTCTGTTACTGTGAGGTGTTCGGGCCCGGTAAGGGGGTGATCGGTGGAAGGGATACGGAGTAAAGTGGGGATCTACGGGATGTTCTTCTCTTCAAAGGTTGACGGAGTGTCAACGGGTTGGAGATCAAGTACGGCAAGTGGAAAGTGGCTCTTGAGAGCCAATTTCCACTTATATTGACTTGTTTTGTTTATGAGCTT